TTCCCCAAGAAAAGTATTTGACATAGCTCCAAAAACTCAGGAAATGATAGTTAATTGCAATCGCCTATTTCCTGATAACAATTCTTAATTGACATTTTATTGAGCTACACCATGTCAGCAAAAACAACTAATACTAAAATGCACTTTTTCTCTCTCCCATATTCCAACACCCCTGTCTCTCTCTTCCACCAACCCGCCCCCACAATGCGGATTCTCAAATTCAGAAAATAAATTTGTGAAAATAAATTTGAGGTAGTACGAATGGTGGAGGGAATTAATTGTAGAAGTTCAGATCTGGTCATTGGTTGACTTTATCTAGCCAATATATTAATTTCACCGAGTTTGGAAATGCAGTATCTCTGTATAAACTTATAATGATGATAATGCAACATGGTTAAGAAAACTTTTGGAGCAGTCTACTAAAAACAAAACTCATAATAAGTGTTTTTGCTCTAAGCTAACTTTTCTTTATGTCTAAAATCAGTGACAACATTTCTGTTTTTTAAGAGTTCTGTTTTTTTCTCCACTTAATATAGGAGATATTTTAACTAAGTTTTTATGTTTTGAAAAATGTTGAATGTAGCATTCTAAATATTTTTATAATTCTGCTGTTAACCTGAATCTGGAAATATTAATAACCTTAAGGAGATACCTGCTGAAGTCAACACTATTATTACAGAGTTGATTTTTACCTTCAAGGATAAAAGTCTTCAAGGATACAGTAAGGATTCAGCTCTGTTACAGTTTTTTTTCTTTTTCCCTCATTAAGAAACATGAAACATCAAAGAATTTTACTTCATACCCAGTTGGACATCAACTTATTCCTTCTCCTTCATTGTAAAGTTCTTGCTTCCGTGACACTGCTATAACCACTGCCATCCTAGGGTACCAAAGAATATTAAAATAATATTAAAAACTAGTAAAATTCCTAGCAGCTCTTATGTCTTCTTTCCTCCTGTCTTTTATTCACTCTACACATACCCACATAATTCATTCTGCTGAAAAGCTACTTTATGATATTCCTTTGATGAAAAGCCTGTAAGTCTCTCTGACATAAAAAGGAAACTCTGTAACCTAGAATTCAAAGCTGTCCATAATTTAAGTTCATTGGTTAACAGCTTCGCCTGAATCTAGCCCCCACTAAAATCTCTTCTCCACTGTAACAGCCTATTGGTTGGTTTAAGACACTTCCTTGGTTCTTAAATTTCACTACTTACATATGTTAACTCTTACTGTTCCCTCTACCTGTAATGACTTACTTTGTGGTTTCCAACAGACCTGTGTTTATAAAATAAAGCCAACGTTAGAATTCACACTTCGGATGTTCTTAGATTTCTTTATCCCTGGGATTTCACCGCTTTTCTTCTTTTTTGTATTTATTATATTTTTAATTTTAATGAATCACTGTGAGATACAGTTAGAGTTTTACAAACTTGCATGATTACCTTTTATTCATACAATGTTAGAGTACCCATCCCTCAACCTGTGCTGGTTCTCTATCACCAATGTTTCCAGTATCCCTCCCGCCACCCCTCCTCCTGCTCCCACCAGACCTGCCTCTCTGGCAGGCACATTCCCTCTTACTCTCTCTCCCCTCAGGATTTCACCCTTTTTTTGTTAGTAGTGAGACACCATGAGGTACAATTGTAGACTTACAAATTTTTGTGCTTGGGTTTCAATTATACAATGATCGAATATCCATCCCCACTCCTTTTTTTTTATTTGGCTTTTTGGGTCACATCCAGTGATGGACAGGGGTTACTCCTGGCCCATGCACTCAGGAATTACTCCTGGTGGTGCTTGGGGGACCATATGGGATGCTGGGAATCGAACTTGGGTCAGCCGCACGCAAAGCAAACACCCTTCCTGCTATCGCTCCAGCCCATCGCCCCTTTTCTAACATGCTGTGCTACCTACTCATTTGCTTCTGTGTCTTGTGTTGCTTGAATCTTGGTGTCCCTTTGGATTTTCTTCACAACAAGACAGTAAGTGCCCACAGAGCACAAGGTCTGAATTTTAAATTCTTCCAGAACTAGGGATCGGCAATGATTCTTTAAGAATTAGTTCCTCATAAAGAAATGGATATTTTATTAGCTAAACAGTAAATACTGTGTTTTCCAAGCATTCTGGGAGGAAAATATGTATAAAAAATGTAATTTTTTGGTAAAGCATTAGAAGAATAAAAGCCAAGACAAATCAGCAAAATTTGAGTCAGCCTCTCTGAAAACCACAAAGGTAACATTACCTTTGCTCAACTTCCTATTTCTGAAATGCCTTTTGCTCATTGAGGATAAGTGTTTAGATGGACCATTTTAAGTTTGCCCAAAACACACAATTATGGCTTGCCTTTAGCAGAAATAATGTGTACCCCTGCTTCGCTTTGTAAATAATTGAATTTGCCTCTAAAGTTCAAGAAGTTCAAGATATCTTTTTTGTGTACGAAATTGACAACTTCTGTTTTTTTTTCTTTATATGCAGCAGAGTAAAATCGGAGGCAGAAGAAATGTCGTTCAGTTTGAATCTGGTGAGCACAGAGGATAATAGGAGAGACTGACATGACTTCCATACAAGAGTTATTTTTAAGTACAGAAAATGCCTGTGTTCCCTCACCCCCACCCGCCCTTGTTGAAAGGACCTTTAGAAAATACAGGATTGAAAAGTGGGGGCAATTCCCATCACCTGGGAGAGGCTTGCTGGTCTGTGGGGTGATGCTGCCCCCTGCTGCATGGAGACAGCCATGAAGGAACTGGTACTTGGGTCTGGCAGTGGCAGAATCCCGGGACCATTCCTGTTCCACGGGCATCTGAAATCTGTCCTTGAGTCTGGATGCATCCAGGCTAGTGATACCAGAAGACGAGTGATTTCAGATGAGTGCTGGCCATGGTGGTTTCTAGGGATGAGAACCATGAAGCAAAGACTAGCTAACTGTGTGGGAGAACAGATTTGCTCAGTGAACACTAATTTGGCAATAACAGGCAAGTGTGTCATTAATGCTGTGTATGATGTAAACAAAGAATGATTTCTCCTTTTCTGGCTTGAGTAAATTTTTTAAAGTTTCAAGATGATAGGGACAGTGGTTATTGTTCATACAGAACTCAATGCATTTAGATTTTCATTGATTTTCTTTGAGCTAAATTCCTCTTTGACAAGTGAAGAACTGAATTCCTTCTCCAGATTTATTGGGTTTTCTTAATTTTTTTTGGTGGGGGAGGGTAACACTTTCTTTCATCAATGTGATTGAAAGAAATTTCGAGGTGGAGAGGAAGAAAAGATGCATTGAGAACAATAAGATTTTCAAGAGTCTTTCAATGAAAGACCTTTAACTCCCCCTACCCCATAACATGCTACTCAGCATTATCTGAACTCCAGATCAAAAAGCAACAATAAAGTTTTGAGGAGTCCTGGACTAGAAAATATCAAATACATTGTCCAATCTTTACAGGAAACATCATTAGCTGAAGAGTAATGGATAAATATGACAATTGTCACAGCAAGTATTTGCAATGATCACTTACAGGAGTAGCCTGATATGCAAAAAGACAGGAGCCCTATTGTGCAAATGTCTCTTCTCACAGTTAAATTCTAATCTAATGTCTAATGTCTAATCTTTTGTCTTAGCATCATCCATATTATGTCCAGATCCTTGTATTGAACAGTTTGGTAAATACACGAGGTCATGATATATGATGTTAATATCTCCCGAATCATGTCCCCTAACCTCAAGAATAGTGACCCCAAGAACACACCTCAGTTAGTCTCTAGTTCACCAAGCTTACTTTTACCTACTGGTGATGCCTTTTTGTAGTAGTGAGTTAGGACCATAAAATGTTTGCCAATTATTCTTTTCATTCTTTGTTTATTAGCCTAATGCTGTAGTCTTCACTCTAACACTTTTTTTCTCAAGGGTCAGTAGGTAAATGCTGTCAATTTTATTCCAAGTTTGAAAAGTATCTGGCAGGGAAGAGTCATCATGTTCTTCCACTAATAACCATTTCAGGGCTGGACCTATAACACACCGGATAGGGCGTTTGCCTTGCACGTAGCCAAGACGGGTTTGACTATTAGCATCCCATTTGGTCCCCTTAGTACCACCAGGAGTTTTCCTGAGTGCATGAGCCAGGAGTAACCCCTGTGCCTAGCCAGGTGTCACCCAAAAGGCAATAAATAAATAAATAAATAAATAAATAAATAAATCACCAGTTCATTTCCTGAAACCTAGCCTCTACATTGAACTAGTTGGGCAGATAATCGCAGGCCTCTCTCCGACAGAGGAGAGAGGTTTTCTGTTTGCATTCTAATTGTTTCACCTTTGCCCAAAGCATGCACAAAGCTCTTCGACTCTCAGCAAAAACTTTTAGCAAGCAGGTTATCCCCAGCCGACCTTAGACTGGTAAGGGAAGGCAGAGTCTGCCTCTCCAGGAAATATGGGTTTCTCTGCAAGAGTTAAGATAATAAAATTTGGTTTGATAGTTGCCAAACACTGTTGCTTCCAGATTTTATTAAAATTAAACATGTAATCCTTTGTTCATTTACCCTGCAGCAATTCTGGGGGGGAAACATTTTAAAATTGGACTGAAAATCCATTATGAAAGACATTGCTCACGTTTGTTAAATGACTTCATGCTCTTGAAAAGAAATGTATAAAAAGCCCATTAGGAGCTGCTCTGCATGGTTTCCTTTGTTTGGGTTTAAGAAGCAGCTTGACTGACACAGATCCTGAAGGAGGGAATCTTTGGATCCTGAGAAGTCTCTTAAATGAAGGTGATGTACAATAATCAGAGAACAATTTCAACGTTGTTCTGTGGAAGGCTATAGTTAGCACTGAACCACATTACCTTCCTGTCTGTGTTTCATTTCCTGGGGTCTTGCCAAGTGATAAACAGACGCAAGCGTGTGGTAGAATTGGGGTTTTTCAGCATGAATAACGTTCTGGAGTGCTTAGTTAAAGCCATCAATTGGCTTCTGCGATAACTATGAAAATGCTGGTGTGAAGCCTTCGATACACCATGGAGAAGAAATGGACATACTGTGCTGTCTACTCCATCATCCAGATGCATTTTGTCAGGGGTAAGGCTTTTAGTTGTCCTTTCTTGTCAAGCTGGCTGCTTTAGGAGCAAGCAGAGCCTCAGTTCATTTAAAATGCCTTGTCACTGCTGCTGAAATTGATCACCAAAGGCAGGTCATTGCTAAAGTTTTTAGTTATGTATTTAAGTGACAGCTATCAGAGAGATGGAAGATGTGAGCATCTGGAAACGGTTACTAATGAGCACTAAGTACAAGAAGTAAATGAGTAGTTTGTGCCACTGCTCTGAGACATTTCCACCCATTCCCTTCCTAAAACGGTCTCTGGAGTCATTGAGAAATTAGACTACTTGGAAACAAAATGGTCTCCAAATGATAGAGAAACTCCAGAAGACAAAACAAAATATTGCAAACCCATCTCTGCTCAGAGACCCTCAACTTTGTTCCCCTTCTCTCTCAAGTACCTTTTTTGTTTTTGTATATAAAAAGCTCTCCTCCAAATACTGTCTTTGGGAGCTGAGCATATGTTGAATTTTAATGAGGCAAGTGTCGGGGTGGACCTGGGAGACTTGAGTTCTTTATGACAGTAGGATTAAGTATCTATAAGGCCTATTTAAAAATAACATGAAGATAGATTATTTTGTTTTCCATAACAAGAGGGTGTTGTTATAGTGAGACTGAATGCCTTAAAAATTAATTCTGGGGGACTGGAGGGATAGGGCATTTGCCTTGCATGCAGCCAACCTGGGTTTGATTCCCAGCATCCCATATGGTCCCCTGAGCACCACCAGGAGTAATTCCTGAGCAGAGCCAGGAGTAACCCCTATGCATCACTGGGTATGATCCAAAACACCAAAAAAAAAAAAATTAACTCTGCTAACCGTGACATATTCGATATGCCAAACAAAGTAACAAGTCTCACAATGTTACTGGGCCTGCTTGAGCAAATCGATGAACAATGGGAAAAGAGTGCTCAGTGCAGTGCAACTCTGCTTTAAATAGAGCTAAGAAGACTTTCAGGAGCATTTCTAAATCAAAGAATACTTTGGTAAACTAAAGGACTCGTAGGATTCAGAGATACACTGTCACACAAAGGGATCTACAGGGAGCCATAGTATATCGGACTAAACTCTGCCTCACTAAAATTTTCACAACCATAAAAATGTAATAATTTTCAAATAATTTTCATTTGTCAAATATCTTTGAGAGCCTTGTTGATTTCTATCGTTTTATCGTTTCCTTTTGTGAGCCTCAATAATACTCGTCATAATAATATATTATTTCTATAACAGAAGAAATTTGAAGACTCGTGCTATTTATTGAGGTGCATCACACACACACACACACACACACACACACACACACACACATGCTAAACATGTTTTAAGTGCCTCCTTTCATTGCTCACAGAGCTGATGGGAGGGGAATTGTTCATCTTTCATGGAATCTCTACTTGAGATCCTGAGATATTTTTTCCCCTCTTTTCCTTAGGACCCCTATATACATGCAGATGGAGCTTTCAGAAAACCGTCACATTTCTTTCCCTTCTCAATCAATTTGAGAAGTAGTTTGGAGGCAGTGAAGATTATTGAAAAAGCACGTGCTAGGCAAATAAATTCAGGTTCTTGACCAGAGAGGTGACTTTGAGCAAATCTCTCTGACTGGTTTAACTCATTTGATTGTTAATTTGCTACTTTGGAGGTTTCTTTGTTTTGGTTGCCAGGGCCTGAGGGAAAGGATAAATGCTGAGCTAATGTGTTTGGGAATTTTATTATCGCTGTTGTTTTGGGCCGCTCCAGAGGTGCTCAGGGCTTACTCTTGACTCGGAGCTAAAGGATTACTCCTCAAGGACTTCAGAGACAATTTGGGTGCCTAAAATAGAGCTTTGGGTTAGCTGTGTACCGCCCAACTCTCTAAGACCTCTCTTCCCAACAGCTGTGCTTTCGGATTTTCTCTTGCTTTTGTGGTACCAAGGATCAAACCTCGAGGCTCATCCATTCAAGACAAGCTCTCTGAGCTACATCCCAGTCAGTTTGTTTTTGTCATTTGCTTTTTGTTGTGGTGGTGGTGGTGGTAGATTTTCTGATACCCAATCTAAAGAGGGCCTCCTGAAAGGCAAAGCAAACTATCACTGAACTATGTCCTGGGGCCATAAAAACTATGTCTTTTTAAATAAAGAGTGTTAACACATCACTTTTTGGTGTGTGAGGAGAATTGAACAAGATAATATATCTAAAAACCTTTTGTAAACATCTCACCTCCCATTGTTCATAGATTTGCTTGAGGGGGTCCATTGTGAGACTTATTGTTACTGTGTTTGGCATATCTAATACATCACGGGTAGCTTGACAGGCTTTGCTGTATGGGCGAGATGCTCTCATAGCTTGCTGGGCTCTCTGAGAGGAGCGGAGGAACCCGGGTCAGCCTCATGCAAGGCAAATGCCCTATCCGCTGTGCAATCGTTCAAGCCCTTTGTTGTTTTGAAATGTTCTGTTCATACTGGTTATTTTGCGGCTTCAGAAAACACCATTTGTGTGTGTGTTTGTGTGTGTATTTTAAATTGTTTTTTGACTGTTGATACAGAGTCCTCCACCAAGTCAAGTATATTAAATGCAAAAACAGTGAAGTCTTAAATTCTCTTGTAGCTTCAACTTTTTACTGAGCTTAACTTTATTCAGGAACAGTCAGAGACCTGAAGTTATTTTGTGGATTATTGACAAAGAGTGATATTCAGAAGTCAATGAGTTCTGTTAGTGCTTTATTGCCCTAAAGAACTCTTTTGCTGCTCAAAAGGAAATGTCTTCTCATTTGTACTGCACCTCATGCTTTTTTTTTTTATCTTAATCATGTACAAAGATCTCTTCTATCCCTCAGACAGCCAAGGGAAAAGTCCCTCACTTCACCAAAGTAGCCACTTTTTTAAAATTAAGAATAACTCCAGGAGTCATGCAAACTGAATTATGAAACTGATGGTTTCTTACTCTTCCTTTTCAGTGGTATGGGAAGAAACATTGAATGCAGAAGCAAACATTTATGCTTTTCCTGGTTCTGATGTCAATTTGACCTGCCAAACACAAAAGAAAGGTTTCTTGGTGCAAACACAGTGGTCCAGAATCACTCGGAAGGAGGAAATGGTTGGCCTTTATCACCCCGTACTTGGTTTCTACTGTGATGGTGGGAATCCCTGTGAATCACTCGTGTCATATAAAGAAATTCCTGGGAATATATCGGAATGGACACTGCACTTAAGAAACATGTCGTCCTCGCTCAGTGGGAAGTATGAGTGTACATTTACACTCTATCCAGAGGGCATTCGGACTAAAATTTTCAACATTCTCCTTCGGACAACTGGTAAGTAACACGAGCAGAGGGAGGGAAGCAAATGCTGTTCTTCAGCTTTTTTTTTTTTTTTTTTTTTTTTTTTTTTTTGCTTTCTGGGTCACACCCAGCGACGCACAAGGGTTACTCCTGGCTCATGCACTCAGGCACTATTCCTGGCAGTGCTCAGGGAACCATATGGGACGCTGGGACTCAAATCTTGGTCGGCTGAGTTCAAGACAGATGCCCCTACCTTCTGTGCTATCACTCCAACCCCTTTTCTTTAGCTTTTATCTAACAAATGTATACTACGCACAAATAGTACTCGTCATGAGGCCAACAACCAGAGTTTGGAAAGAAAAATTTATTATTACCTGACAAGACAAAAACTGATCAAATCATTTCACAAATACATGTGAAACAGTGGTAAAGTGACAAGGACTTCGTTGTTCTGTAAGAAAGCACATAAACAGGCCAGGGAATGTGACACGAAGCTGAGACCCAAAGAATCAGTAGATATTAACATCAGTTCAGAGGTGGAAAGTTCATGATCCAGAAACAACAAAAGGCATTTGTGACGGGATTTGTAAAATTTGAGGAAGTCAGAAGTGCCAATGAAAATCTAGGGACTAAGGTATGATGTGAAAATATTATAAGATCAGAATATGCTACACTTAAATTTAAAAATCTTAATTTGTATCTAAGAGCCATGGAAGATATTAAAGTAGTTTCAAAAATACACACACACGCACGCACACACAAAGAATGGCATGAAATTGATAGCATGATTATAAAAATTTTTATGTGTTAAGACACAATACATATATGACTTGATTATAGAGTGTATATAGAACAGTGGCGATGGGGGGGTGGGAGGGATGCTGGGAGCATTGGAGGTGGGGAATGGGCACTGGTGGAGGGATGGGTACTCAATCATTGTATAACTGAAACCCAAGCACAAAAATGTGTAAGTCTAAATATGAGATTAATACCCAAGAATAGCTGAGATCAGCACCAGGAGGATTACTCCATAGCTTAGAGGTCAGCCAGGCATTCTAGGGGAAAGGGCAGCTCAGATAGAGAAGGGAGCACCAAATAAAGGGTGTCTGGAGGATCCTCCCAGGAGGGGAGATGCATGTTGAAAGTGGACTATGGACTGAACATGTTTGCCACTCAAAGCCTCTTTTGCAGACCACAACACCCAAAAGGAGAGAGAGAACACAGGGGCTCGCCCTGCCACAGAGGCAGGGTGGGATGGGAGGGATATTATCCATGGTGGTGGAAAATGGGCACTGGTGGAGGGATGGGTATTTGATCATTGTATAATCTAAACCCAAGCACAAAAAATTGTAAATCTACAACTGTACCTCATGGTGTTTAAAAAAAAATTTTTTTTTAAATTGGGAAAAAAAATTGTAAGTCTACAACTGTGCCTCATGGTGTTTCACTAATAAAAATTAAAAAAAAAAGAAAAAAGAACAGTGGCGATATATATGAGGAAAAAATTGAAGGTGGCACTTGTTGTCTGCATGTACAACTGAATGATGGTACCAGTTAATGAGATGGGTGACAAAAAAAGCAGAGAGAAGAATATTGGGGGAAATTTAAAGAAATGGTTTTGCTGTGTTACTGTAGGAAAGCAAAGTAACATGGAGGCGTTGGACACACAGCATTCGCAAGCATACTTGTTTTAAGGTCTGTACTTGGAGGCAAGAATCCTAGGTTTAAGTTGTAGTATACTGTTGTGGATAGAAATGAATGTTGCCTAGTCACATAAATTTTCTGTACTAACCTGTAAAATGATGATAATAATGCCTACCCTAAATTACTTTGCCCTAAAGTAAGTGATTTCCATCTATACTAATGGGAATAAAAGTGAAATCCAGCAAATAGCAAATATACAGGAAATGGTAAACTTTTAACTCCAATACAAAGTAGTTTGGGAATACCACTGTCACTGTCCTCCCGTTGTTCATCGATTTGCTCGAGCGGGCCCAGTAATGTCTCCATTGGAGACTTTGTTGTCACTGTGTTTGGCATATCGAGTACATCACGGGTAGCTTGCCAGGCTCTGCCGTGCAGGCGAGATACTCTCTATTCCCGTTGCTCTTTTCCAAGTGAGGAAAAACTTTTTCAGTTGGGGGTCGGTGGATAGACAGGCTAGAGTAAAGAAAGGTGAAGACAGGTATGAAACATTTATGGAATATTCAACTATGTCTATTGTTGAGTCAGAAAACCCAGATTTGAGTGTTAGACAGTGCCGTTTAAAAGTCCTGACAAGTCCCCCACCACACCCCAGGCCACAATGATGTGTTCATCTGTTTTATACTTTTGATCTTCAGCTACTTCTCTCATTATCCTTGTGTGATCTTCAATGTAAGAATCATTTTCTTCTTACATTCTTATGAGACCTTCAAGTTCTCAAGTTCATTGGGTTAACAATGCTTTGTTGTTTATTATATGTTTCATTTTTGGCAAGTTATTTCAAGTAACTAATTTTTTTGCTTTGTGGTATAACAAATATTGTTAATTATAGTACTTCTTTATAGATAACTGTTGTCTTGATAATTAGATGAGAAAAAGTTTTCGAAGCATGTAGCATATTTCTTACCCAAGATTAAGAACTAGATGATTTTCATTAATAATAATAATAATAATAATAGTATTGAATGAACTGTTTCTAAATTCTTATTGGAACCAAGTCTTGCTCCCTCTCTTTTTTGTATTTAGCCTAATTAGAAAGCCAACAATATATTTGCCATGCATTAGCACCAGAATACATTGATCTCAGTTTCGAGCATAAATTTTGAGCCTTCTGCCTAAATCTGTAAGCTATACCATTACAAACCTGTGAGCCTAATGTTTCTCCTTTTCATGGAGGATTGGCAGCATGAATTAATGTATCTAAAAGAAATAAGAAATTTGGGCTGGAGCAATAGCACAATGGGTAGAGCTTTTGCCTTGCACAAGGCCAATCAGGATTCGATACCCAGCATCCCATATGGTCCCCCAAGCACCACCGGAAGTAATTCCTGAGTGCATGAGCCAGGAGTAATCCCTATGTATCACTGGGTGTGACCCAAAAAGAGAAAAAAAGAAATAAGAAATGGGATGATTCAAGACATGAGGCGAACAGTAGAGAAGTTTATGAGGCCCAGAAAGAAAAATGATATTGCATTCTAAGAAAAGCATATTCCTTTAGAAATAGAAGAGGAAGAAAAGAAGGAAGGTGGGGAGAGAAGGATAAGGAAAAGAAGAAAGAAAATGAGAATGATAAGAATAAAATCAATAAGGAGCTAAATTATAGTTACTAAAATTTGCAAATTCCTAAAGAGGCATATATGTATGCTATAAAGTGGGCACTTCCTAGGCTTACAGTTGTAACTTTGCCATTAATTATCTGTTCCAGAGAAATTTAAAAAAGTGCCTCAATGTCTGAGGAATAGTTCTGGCATTGTGCATTTGAGAGCAAAGGAACCAAAATTAAATAGAGCAAAACAGAAGGGGGGGAAAAATTATCACCACAGATCGACTTGCTATTGAGGTCAAAATGGAACCCGTTAGGGGCAGAGATTCAATTCAGAGAAGACAGTGCCGTTTAAAAGTCCTGACAAGTCTCCCACCACACCCCAGGCCCACAATGATGTGTTCATCTATTTTATACTTTTGATCTTCAGCTACTTCTCTCATTATCCTTGTGTGATCTTCAATGTAAGAATCATTTTCTTCTTACATTCTTATGAGACCTTTCAAGTTCTCAAGTTCATTGGGTTAACAAAACACACAGGAAGTGCAAACATTTGTGAAGTATACGAACAAATGCTAGTTGAAGTGTTATAAGAATCTAAATATGGAAATTCTGATGCGATTGTGACCTCTTCCTGTTTCCTCTCCTTTGTCATCTGAATCAATCTTTTGACTTATCTGCTCAAAAGACTGTGTTGAAATAGTGTTTCATTATTCCCTGAGTGCCTGGCCAAGAAAGGATTTATTCTTTTACTCCATTTTTTACCTGTTGTGTTTTTCTTCTCTGATGCTGAAAACGACAGTAGAAATATGCTTAACTTTTTTATTTTTGTTAGTTCAGTTTTGGTGTTTGAGCCGCACCCAGAGGTGCTTACTCCTGGCTCTGTGCTCAGAGATCACTTTGTGCAGTGCTCAAGTCATAATAAGCAGTACCAGGGATCAGAATGGGTTTACACTAGGTGTGAGACAAGTACTTTAACCCCTGGAATATCCATCCAGTACCTATAATATGTACTTTTATGCTTGCCGGAAAAGGTTTTCATTTTCAGTTCACATAATTTCTTTTATGGGTAGAAATTTTTTTAGTATTACAACTAAAGTGATTCACTGACTTATTTTAATTGAGGTTTCCTTAATTCCAATACTACTGGACCCCACTCTCACTTTATAAGACTTTGATGCATATTAAAATTTGCAGTTATTGGTGCTGGGGTGATAGTACAGTGGGTAGGGTGCTGGCCTTGCACGTGGCTGGCCAGGATTCGATTCCCAGTATCTCATATGGTCCCCTGAGCACCGCCAGGAGTAATTCCTAAGTGGATGAGGCAGGAGTGACCCCTGTGCATTGCCGGGTATGACCCAAAAAGCAAATAAAATAATAATAATTTTTTATAATAGAATTCCTAGATATATAAACATGGAACAAAGATATAGTACAGGTGTTCTGGACTAACCTTTCTGCTAAGTATCACCAGGAGTGACCCCTTGGCTTCCTGAGCACCACACCCCAAAGAAGAAAGTACACTGTGGCTATAACTTTTCTAATTATAACAAAAGATTTGGGGACTTGTTAATGTGTTCTTGGAAGCAGGAGAAAGAAAAAGTGTAACTGTGGAAATAGAAGTAAAGTAATGGTATTAGAATTAATGCAGAATATCACAGATCATCCTGTTATTCGTCGATTGCCTCAAGCAGGCCCCAGAAACGTCTCCTTCATCCTAGCCCTGAGATTATATTCAAGGCTCTTTAGGAGAATGAGACCCATCATTGTTACTGGTATTTGGCAT